ATTAGGAGTTTTAGAATTTAGCCTCTTTATTTCATAGGTGAGGAAATAATATTCTGGAGAGTTCTCCAGAGCCATATATAGCAAAGTATAGTTATGAATGGAACTAAAGCTCGACCTTGTTTTCTTGACTTGTATTTGGCACATTTTTATGATTGAGATAAAGTCATCTCAATTTGCAAATGACTTTCATGACCTCTTAATATTGTTTACTCTTATAAAAAATGAAGTGTATTTGAAGTTAGAGGATTGTTGGATTATCAAAATATTCACTAATTTTATTTCATTAATATTTATGTTTCTATAAATATTCACTATAATTTTATTTTGCAGCCATCTCATGTATAATGATTATCAATCAATTCAGAATCTCATTGTCTGGCAGTTGGTATTGGTTATGTGCTGGTGCACATGTGGAATATCATGCCTGTGGATTTTGGGAGAATTGTTGATGGCATAGGGGAATGCTTAAGATACAGTAAATGAAAGTCAAGTAAATAAACAATATAATGCCAGTATTATTTTTTATGTTTTAATTGTTTTTTGTATTATTTATTTTTAGCTGAGGTAATATTGGGATACCCCCATCAAGTATTACCACCATGGTGAACCCACCACCAACTCAACCACAGCTCACTGCCATAGACTGTGCTTGCTTCTTTCTTTGTTCTTACCTCTCCCCCTTTTCCTCCGCCCCTTGATGCCTCAGTAATGTAGTCAGCTATAAAGTGTTAGTTTTCCAGCTTGTCTTTATTGGGTTAGTTACTTTATGTTCCATCCGGCATTTATCTTTATCCTTCTGACTTATTTCATCTGGCATTGTCCCTTCAGACTCCATCCATGTTGCTGCAAATGGCATGTGTTTATTTTCCTTTATGTGGGCACTTAGGTTTTTCTCCATAATTTAGCAACAGTGAAAAGTGCTGTAATAAACATAGAAATGCAAATTTCCTTTTGAATTAATGTTTTTGAATTTTTTGGGTAGATACCTAGGAATGGAAACTGGATCAAATGGCAGATCCAAGTTTAATGTTTTGAAACACCTCCATGCTGCTTTTCCATAAGGGCTGGATCAGTTTTTATTCACACCAACAGTGTATGAGGGTTCCCTTTTCTCCACATACCTGCCAGCACTTCTTGTTTCTGGTCTTTATGATATGGGCCATTCTCACAAGTGTGACTTGATACTTCATTGTGATCTTGATTTGTAGTTCTCTAATAGTGGTTGTGAACACTTTTTTATGTGCCTGTTGGCCATTTGAATATCCTTGGAGAAGTGTCTATTCTTCTGCCTATTTTTTAACTGGGTTATTTAGTTTTTGTGCACTTTCATGAGTTCTTTGTATATCTTTGCTATCAGGCCTCTGTCAGATGTATGTGTGAAAGTATTTTCTTCCATTCAGTAATGTGTCTTTCTTTTTAGTTACGAATTCTTTTATTATATAGAAGCTTTTTAGGTTAGCTTTTGATGTACAAGTTGTTTATGTTCTCTTTTGTATTTCTTGCCATTGGGATTGAATCCCTAAAGGCATCACTAAAGCTTTTGTCCTGAAATGTTTTGTTTTCTTCTGTGTTATTTTATGGTTTAACATCCAGGTCTGCAGTTCATTTTGAATTTTTGTGTATAGTGTGAAATTAGTTGCCTCAGTTCATTCTTTTGCATGCTGCTGTCCAGTTTTCACCACCCTTTATGAAGAGGCTGTCCTTGCTCTACTGTATGATTTTGGCTCGTTTGTCATAGTTTAACAGTCTATATATCTGTGGGATTATTTCTGGGCTCCCAGTTCTATTCCGTTGGTCTGTGTGTCCGTTTTTGTTGAAGTGCTAGTCTCCTTTAATTATTACAGCTTTATAATATAATTTGAGGTCTGAAGTGTGATACCTCCATTCTCTTAGTTCTTTGTCAGACTTGTTTTTGCTGTTCAGGTTCCTTTTTGGTTCCATATGAATTTCAGTAGTATTTGCAGTTCTTCAAAAAACGCCATTGATATTTCTATTGGGATTGCATTGAATCTGTATTGGGTAGGATGGCCATTTTGACAATGCTGATTCTTTCAATCCATGAACAGGGAATATTTTTTCCATTTCTTTGAGTCATCTTCTATTTCCTACAACAGTGTCTTATCATTTTCTCTGTAAAGATTTTATACCCCCTTTGTTAGGTTTAGTTTTAAGTAAATTTTTTTTTTAAGATTATTTATGCATACAAGAACTGGGATACAGGCCAGAGGTGAGAGGATTTACCAGAGACAGAGCGGGGAACAGAACAGGCAGATCAACTGAAACACACTGCTGAAGGGAGCAGTGGGTGAGACAGGAGAGGTCTGCAGTGCCATGTGGGTAGCTTCCTGACTGGGGATCGAACTCGTGCTGCAGTGGCTGCTGCTGCGGATAGTTTCATAGGTTGTGTCTTAACCCCTTGCGCCACCAGGGAGGCCCAGGTATTTAAATTTTTTTGAGGTGTAATTGTAAATGGGATTACTCTTAATTTCTTCCTCTTCTATCATTGTTTGTATGTAGGAAGGCAACTGATTGATGTGTGTTGATTTCATACCCTGCCAGTTTGCTGAATTGATTGTTTTGATTAGTTTTTCCATAGAATCTTGGGAGTTCTCTATGTATATTATCATGTCATCTGCAAATACTGATAGGCTTATTTCTATTTTCCCAGTTTGGATTCCTTTCACAGCTTGCTCTTGGCTCATTGCTCTAGCAAGAACTTCTAATGCTTTGTTGGATAGCAGTGGTGAGGGGACATCCTTGACTTGCACCAGGTTTTAGCTTTAATTTTTTAACATCGAGATTGATACTAGCTATATGTGTTTGTCATATATGACATAATTATGTTAAGGTATATTCCATTTATCCCCAGAATTTTGAGGATTTTCATCATAAATGGATGTTGGATGTTATCACATACTTTCTCAGCATCTGTTGATATCTTATGGTTTCTGTTTCCCTTCTTGTTGATGTTGTGAATTATGTCAGTTTTTGTTGTTTAACCATTCTTGTGTTCCTGGTATGAATCTCACTTGGTTATGTTGTATCATCCTTTTAACACATTGTTGGATTCACTTTCCTAGGTTTTTATTCAGGATTTTCGTGTCTGTCTGTCTTTGTTCATTAAAGAGCTTGGTCTGTAATTCTCTCTTTCTTTTTTTTAAATGCCCTTGTCTACTGCTATCAGAGTTGACCTTATAAAAAGTATTTGGAAGTAATCCTTTTTATTCAATGTTTTGGAAGAGTTTGAGCAATATAGGGTATTCACCTTTGAAGGCTTGGTAGAATTCACTTGTGAAGCCATCTGATCCTCCTTTGGGAGATTTTTGATTAATGTTTAATTTTCTTGCTTGTGATTGGTTTGTTCAGGATTTTTCTCTATTGGAGTCTATTTTCTTATCCAAGTAGATACTCTGTCTTTTAATTGGTGAATTCAGTTCATTTACTTTGAAAGTGATTTTTGATACAATATTAATCTTTTGCTACCATTTCTTAATTTTTGTGGGTCAGTCTTTTTTTTTTTTTTCCAGTTCTTTGTGTTATGTTCCTCTTTTTGGTTTTGATGGTTAAATGCCTTTCAGTATTTGTTGGAGAGTAGTTTAGTTTTGTAAACTTGATTTTTCTCTGTGTCTGAACAAAGTCCTTTTATTCTTCCCTCATATCTGAAGGATAATCTTGCAGGATAGAGCATTCTTTGCTGGTAGTTTTGCTCTTTAAGTATTTGGAACACACTATTCCATTCTCTCCACCCTCCTAGTGTTTCTTCAGAGAAGTCTGATTTTCACCCCTTGGGGTACCGTTGTAGGCTCGTTCTTTCTTCCGTCTTCCCATCTTCAGTATTCTTTGTTTTGAACTCTTGGAATTTACACTGCTGTATGTTTTGTTGCTGGTCTCACTTTATCTAGGTATGCTGTGGTTCTTTTGGCTTCTTGGATTTGTACATTCATTTCCTTCTATAGCTCTGGAATGCTTTCCTTCACTATTTCTTTAAATGCATTTTTTGTTTCTTTCTCTATCTTCCCCCCCCTTTATTCCTGTCATTCTTATGTTGCCTTTTCTCATGGAGTTGCATAGTTCTTGGAGTGTTTTCTTCTTTTTTTACTTCATTTTTGTCTTTCTTTACCCAGATTCTTTTTACATTTTCATCTTCAATTACACTGGCTTGTTGTTCCCTCGACATATTCTACTTTGTGACTTTCTCCTGAACTTTTCATCAGCTGTATTTCTCTCTTGAAATCCTGAAACTCCATTTTTATCTTATTTAGAGCTTCACTTTTTGTCTTCAGTTCATTTCATTTCTAAGGACATTTACATGTTTTTCTGAGTTTTCTTTCATATCTTTGTCATTGCATTTCTAAAATCTAAACTCTTACCTGATGGGGAGAACATAGCTCTGTAGCTATGGATTGTGGTTCTAAATATTTGTTCTCTCTGTGTTGTACTCTTCCATTGAGGACTCAACGTTGCCTTTTTTTTTTTAAAGCCTTTGCCCATTACTAGCTTTGGAACCCAGCTGCTGTATGTTGGGTTTCCTCTGGGCATGGTTCCTCCTACCTCATTGTTCAGGCTTCTCACTTAATCTCAGCAAACACCTGGTGGCATCTCCCAGGAGATTCTGAGGTCTCCGACCACTCTGGCTCATTTGCTGATGCGGGTCCAGAGACTCACCAGTCTGCAGATGCTGGTGGGAATCTTGTGGGAAGTCACGAGACTTCTCTAAGTCTAGGCAAGTACTGCTGGGATCCCACATAGTTTGCAAGACCCCTGCTCAACCATACTGGCTGCAATTTGTGAGACATCGTGAGGCCTCTGGCTGCTCTTGTACCCTCTGTGATGTGCGTCTGGCGTCTCACCAGTTTGGGGGGATACTCACAGAGAGTTGTGAGGTCTTTGCCAGTCTGGGCGGGTGCTGGTGGGTGAAATACTGTATTTTTACAAAACAACATTTAGCTACTTAGAGAATAAAAATAACAAATTATAATACTTTTTTTCTTGGTTTTCAGGTTTTCTACAAATGCCCATACTATCATAGATAAATCAGTGAATATTATAAAATGGTTTGATATGGTTTGTAATAATCTATTTGTGCCCAATTTCTGGAACAATGCATAAGGTAAAATGACATCTCTAACTCTGTAGTATAATTTACCATTTATATTATAATCTTTATTTCCTTGAGTTTTCTGCTATAGACAATTTCATTTGTTAAATGTGCATAATTATTTCATAGGGCATTATTGCTCATATGTCCTCATTATCCTTCATTTGGTGTAAATGTATATCCCCTTCATTGTGACCTTTGCATGTTAATTTTGTTCAGTAATCCACATACACAGTTAGAAAGTCAAGTGATTCCTCAAACCTTTGAAACAAAGCAGTTCCAGTTTTAACCTGTTCTACTTTAGCGTGAGTTTCATAAGGAAGTTACCTCCACATTATTAAGATGATTCTACCACTCTTTATTCATTAAGTTTAGATAGCATTTAACATAGATAATGTGTTATCATATCCTTCTCTACACTCTTATCTTTCTAGTGTGGTTCAATTACTGTTTAAAGTCAGACAAACAATTATGATTTTGAAATCACGACTGTGTGACTATTGTCTCCCACAGGCCAACTATATTGTAATTGTGTTTCCTTTCTTATAAAGTTTTGGCTTTTCCTTAACATCCTATTTTTTAATTAGTTTTATAGCATCCCTTCATTTCCTAATAGCCTCTTCTGGTTTGCTTTTTCTGCAGGAAGATGTTGAAGCTCAGTGCTTGTCCTCTGGGAGCATAACTGATTCCTCTTCCTCCTAGCTTTACTGAGCCCTGCTTTCTGTACTATTTGTAATGCCTTGAGCTGCGTTTATTGCTTTTTGCCTTAGTGTCATTTCTACATCCCTGAATACATTTTCCTTTTGCCGTCTGTGTTTATTAAGGCTTCATGTTTAGGAATATCTTCCATTCCTTCTGTTCCTGTCCTGAACTCTATCCCCAGTATGTCTGGACAAGGTGCTTCATAATATCTTTGTATTTCTACATGGCTCTACTTACTCAATTTTGTAATTGTTTATGCTAGCTGTTCTCCAGATGTGGTCTGGGGTTTCTTAAGTCTTAAGGTCAAGGTCCTTTGAAGAAGAGTCTTGATGAGTACTTGTGAGGTCAAATTTTTTTTTCTTCTTTTTTTCCTTTTAACAATAACATCTGAAGGCATCTACTGTTTGTTTTGGAAAACAGTGGGACTTGTGTGAAAAAACAGCACTGGGGCATCACACTCAAAACCTATGCACCTTCTTAGCCAGTTTATAAGGAAAAATAATAGCAGTGCTAATCAGATTTCTAGCATGGCAGAGTTGCTATTGGGGTTTGCACCTGGCATCATAGTTCATCAGTCCTTCATAGTCATAAGGGTTCATTTTCCTTCTTTGTGATTTAGACCTTGGAAGACAATTTGCTTATGAATATCATTTACTTGTGTGGATATTCTTATAATAAAAATTTCAAAATTTGAACCTGAATACAGATTTAATTAATTTGTTATAATTCAGGGGAAATGTTTTTACAGTTTTTCATTTGTATTCACTGCTTCCTCTGATCACTTGAAGACATTGTTATCAGCATCTAATTGCCTTTTGGAAGGTACTCTATATTATCAGCTTTTTAGTTAAAGCCTTCATAAAAGACATGTTATCTCTATTGTATGAGGAAGCGTACCTTCTTAGCACTTCAAAACATGAACATATTGTGAATCACCTCAACTCATTATCACCACATCATCATCCTACCTGTACACTGAATGTCTGGGCTAATTTGTGTTAAGGAAATGTGTTCTAGTGGGTTTTACTTCCTATTCCTATTCCTATTCCTAGAAAGCTTTCCTCACTGGCCTTTTCAGATACACTTATTTCTGTTCAGATCTGTTTGAGTCTCTTACCAGACCAGAGAGAAAGGAATACAGGAAAAAACTGGTTTTAGTCTTGCACTCCCTCTTGTTGATGCAGTGGAGTTTTTCAGCCCCTTTGAGTACCTGGCTCACATCCGTGACCATTGATCTGAAACACAAATTACAATGCGTAATGTCCCTCCCTTGCTAATTAATAATCTGTGACTGACTTTGTTGTCCTATAGATGTTTTTAAATTAGAATGTGGTCTTACGGTTTTGCTAGGAATTCAAAAGCCTTCTAAAATTGATGGTAATATAGCTGTTACACTAATTTTTTAATGGGGAGAGAGTAAATATGATCAGATGCTTGCAGATCACCAAAAAAAAAAAAAAAAGTGACCTACAAGATAAAGGTCTTATGGTACTGAAAAGTACCCATTTACTTGTAATTTGAAAAAGTCTCATCTGCTCTCTTATTTTAACACCAGCTGTTTCTTCAGCCTACAGTTCCTTTACTCTTTTAGTGTATGATACAGTTCATGCTTTAAGAAAGCTTTCCTTAATCCCTGGATCTAATTCTAATTCACTCTTTGGGTTCCTCTAAGCCTCCTGTAGCAATGGTCACACACATTGTAGCACACCCATTTTTTTACAGATAGTTTGTTTCTTATAAGTGAGTATGCTAATGCCTTCTTCATGGGCTTAATGTAATTTTTAATGAGGTAATATACAGACAAGGCTTAGTACAGTATAGTTCTTACTGACTTGAATCTTCCTCTTGCCTTTCTCACACATGAATGTGAACTGCGTAGTAAGTCAGCGTTTGTTTTGCTGTTACAAATTTTGGTTAGGTTAGAGTTCAGAAGAATATGAGCAGGGTTAATGCATTCTTTAGGCTTAGAACCAAACAGAAGGTAAATTATTTTTCATACTAGTAAATTGTAGCATTTTCAGTAAAGACCTTTGGTGAATGTCTATGTATAGTGAGAATTACTCAAAATCCTCAGGCAGTTGCCTCGCTGGAGACTGACTGAAACTATCTTAATCTAGTGTAGCCACTTTTTTCATACCTTTTGGGGAAACAGTCATTCTGAGTACCAAATGAAAAAGTGTACTTGTGTTTAAAGGCCATGTCTTTAAAAAAAATCTTTAAATATTAAAATAAAGAGTTCAGATAGTTAGCCATAAAAGGAACAGTGATATACAGCCCATTGAATCACATGCTGTGAAATATAGTCATTGACGAGAATGATGCTGTAAGCCCTTGTATTTTTGAAATCACTATTTTGAGTGGGGGGATGTCAGATAGGACTATTGGAATCAACCAAATTTGCAAGTTTCAATAAGGTAAGTAGGAGTGTGACATGAGTTCACAGTATTTCCTCTATTTGTAAGTTCAAGGAGATAATTGGAAAAGACATAGGGGACACAGACAGATAATGAGCCAGGCTGTGATTAGGGGGACTGACTCCGGTAGTGCTGAAGAGCTCAGTGCTGGGACCCTGGGAAAGCTGTGGTTACTTCTCTGAAGTCAAGAGTGAGTACAGTCTTGGGCCTCCCTCGTGGCGCAGGGGGATAAGACACAACCTATGAAGCTATTCGCAGCTGCTGCAGCACGAGTTCAGTCACCGGCCAGGGGGCTACCCACATGGCGCAGCAGACCTCTCTTGACTTGCTCGCTGCTGCCCTCAGTAGTGTATTTCAGTTGATCTGCCTGTTCTGTTCCCCACTCTGTGTCTGGTGAATCCTCTTACCTCCCCTCACACTTCTGGCCTGTACCCCAGTTCTTCTATGCATAAATAAATAAATCTTTACAAAAAAAAAGTGAGTACAGTCTTACCAGAGAGTTGGCTGTCATAACTCTTGCATTGGCCATGGGTATTTTGTTTCTTTCCCTTTAATTTATTGTCAGAAATTAATCGAAACTTAAACTCACTAACTGTAGTTGAATAAAACTTAAATTATGTATTTAGTATGTATAGAAATTTTTATCAAGTTACTATTCTGTTGAAAAATGCTGAGTTTGATTTGTTAAAGTTCATATTTGTGTGTGTGTGCATGTTTGTGTGTGTATAACATGTTTTAGTGCTTAAATCATGGTCTTATTTATCATGACAAGGTTTACCAAGTAAAGCTATCTTAAAATACATATGTAAATATGCATGCATACACATTAAGCATATGGGTATGGTTTTGTTTACATTTTATGTTAAGTGCTTAAGGAGGATACTATTCTTTGTGTAAACATTTTAAAACATTACACACATATATGTATTTGCATGTTGTTTTTTTGCATACAATGTTTGCTCTCTCCTCTCAGGTGTAGTTAGTCCCCACCAATTCATCCATGCACTATCATCTTAGTCCATTGTGCTCTTCCCTTCCCTGTCTTGATCCCTCTCCCTTCCTCTCCCTGCAGAATGTCTCTGATTGATAGTTGCCTGTTAATTTTGGTTTTTTACTTATTGTTCCCCCCTCCCCCGATCCCTTATTCAGTTCCTCTATATTCCTCCTATAAGTGAAACCATACCATCTTTTTCTTTTTCTTTCTGGCTTATTTTACTGAGCATTAATTCCTTCTAGCTCCATTCATGTTGCTGCAAATGGCATGCGTTTATCTTTTTGATTGCTGAATAGTATTCCATTGTGTATATATACCACATTTTCTTGATCATTGACCTATTTTTGGGCATTTGGGTTGTTTCCATATCTTAGCTGTTGTAAATAGTGCTGCAATAAACATAGGGATGCAGGTATCCTTTTGAATTAATGTTTTCGTGTTCTTTGTGTAAACATTTTGAATTTATGTGTGCATTTTATAATTGTTAGTGGATTTAAATTCAGAGATTTTAAGTTAGAAAATTTATGCATATTAAGCTAGACTTAATTGTTCTCTAAAGTAGGCCACATGGTTGAATGATTAAGACCTTGGTTTCTGGAATCAGAACAACTATGTCCTGGCAGTGTTGCTTTCTGTGGCAGCATTGGTGTGCATTATGGCAGCTGCTGGCCACATATAACTTAAAAGCACTTCAAATGTGACTACTGTGATTAGCTGAATTTTGAATTACATATATTTAAAATGTTTTATTGAAGTAGCATTGGTTTATAACAATATATAGTTTTCAGGAAGATGTCATCATAAGTACCATCTGCAGATACTATGTTAAGTTCACCACTAAATGTCTAAATCCTTCCTTCTCCATACATTTGTATCCTGTTAGCTGGTTTATGCTCTTCCCTTCTAGTCTAATAATATGGTCTTATAGTCTAAAAGTTTGTTTTTGTTTTACTTAATTCATTTGAGTTGGCTTAGGTCTAGGTAGCCGCATGTGACTAGTGGCTTCTATGGCCTCACAGCATGAAGTGATTTAACTTTTCTGTATTTCGGATTTTTCATTTGTACATATAAGCTCATACTGAAGCCAGCTTTTGTGGTTGTTACAGGAATAAGGCATTTAAGGAATTTAATGCTATTTCTGGAGCTGAGTATGTCCTTCATAAAGAATAGTTCTAATGACTATTATATATTTAATAAGCTGAAATTATTTTCCTTTTGGGCATTAATTTAAACCTGTTTATTTTTATTCTTCCTTTTCAGGATTAATTTATTTTTGGAAATCAAGTGCAATAATAAAAGGAAAATAAACCACACAACATTATTGGAAGCCATTTCTGCTAATTTTATTACATTTTAAAATTTATGATTTGATTTGAATACTATCATGGGAGGAGCTGTGAGTGCTGGGGAAGATAACGATGACTTAATTGATAATTTAAAAGAAGCTCAGTATATCCGCACTGAAAGAGTGGAACAAGCCTTCAGAGCAATTGATCGTGGAGATTACTATTTGGAAGGCTACCGAGACAATGCTTACAAAGACTTAGCCTGGAAACATGGGAACATACACTTGTCAGCACCTTGCATTTATTCTGAAGTTATGGAAGCATTGAAACTTCAACCAGGATTGTCTTTTCTTAACCTGGGAAGTGGAACCGGATATTTAAGTACAATGGTGGGCTTAATTTTAGGTAATTTTGATTTTGTGAAACTATACTTTAAAAAGTAAGCTGAGTTTGTATTACTGTTTATGATTACAGGGTTTGAAACTTTGTGTACAGTGTATGTTTGAATGTATATACTTAAAGTAGTTATCTTCCTTTCTTAAGAAGTAGTAATCATTTTCTGTTCCCAGCCCTGCCCTGGACAATTAGCTTTTGCTTTCAGCCCTAGACTTAAAAGGCTCCTGTACCCATTTCCAATGCCCAATCATTGTCTCTCTTTAAAATTGAACAGCCGGTATGCAGGAAAGTGAGGAGTGTCATTTCATCTCCTTTAAGGGAAAAGTTCTAACAGCTGGCATAGTGAATTTGATAATTATTCGAGTCTCAAAAAAAATACCATGTTTTCGTTAGGGAGACGTGTGTGGGATATAGTGCTTCGGGCAGAGGACTGGTAGGATACCGCAGGGTACTGGAGAAAAACACAGATGAGAGAATTGTATGTCATTGAGCTTTTAGCACACTTAGAGTGTGTATTTTGCCAGGCGTTATTCCTTCCTGGTGTGAGTATACAGCGGCGATCAAAAAGAAGGTAGATCTCCAGCCTGAAGATTGCTGAGTGCATACTAGGAGGGCAGGCATTATTTAAGTACTTTATATCCAATAACTCACTTAATGTTCCTAATAATCCTGTGTATATGGTGGAGTATATACTGCTGTGATTTTCATGTTGGTGAGTAAACTGAGGCACAGAGAGGTTAAATAAATATATAGCTTTAAAGTTATATAGCTAGAAGTAACAACTGGGAAATACGGAATGTGGCTAGAAAAAACATGGATGAATCAAAATCTGCTATAAGACGTTATGAGTTGGATGGAGAATGAATAACTGAGTTTACTAAGCCACATATTTACTGTATTTACTGAATATTAGTGTGTGGTAAGCCTTGAGATAGAGCAGTAATGCCTGCAGAGAGATTCTTGTCCTTGAGTTTGGAGACATAACGTTGGAAAGATGGATGAAAATCAGTAGTCTCATCTAGTGTGATAGTGTAATGAACTGTATGTGCAAGTTACCGGATGAATTGTGTTGGTTTGATATCTACTCTCAAGTGATAACGGACACATTGAAGAATTTAGAATGACTGTACTCCGGAGGGTCCCTCTGTCCCAGTGTCCTGGGACAGTCTTGGTGTATCTCACTTGTCCTAGCGTCAGTATCAATGACCTGTTACTTCCTAAAGTGTCCCAGGTTGGACAGTAAATTATGTGGTCATGTTTTGAGATTTTTACAAAGTTTTCAGGTCTGAAGTTCCTTTTTTCTTATACACTGGCATGTTACTTTATTTTCTCATGGGATGTGCAGTCTGTTTCATTAAGAAATTAATAGATCCCTTTTTTTCTACAATAGAGCGTCAAAAATGGTAGCAAGTTAATTGAGTTTTACCAAGAAATTTATCAGCTTACATTTAAATTTGGTGTTAACTACATTCCTGAGCCACGGATTTTTCTGTAGGTTGGAACCCAGACATCTATCACTTCTGTCATTAGGCCCTCTTTGAAGAAGGACGCTCTAGTGTTTGAGCCAGTGTCCAAATCAAAGGAACTCAGTGGGGGGTAGTAAGGAGACCTGCTTTTCAAAAAATGATAGTTGCCTTTCTTCAGGCAGTGCATTTCTTGACTAGTTTTGGCAACTGTTTGCTGGAGTCCAGGCCATAGGATCTTAGTCAGCTTCAGAGTGCCTGTTTTCCTGACCCTGTCACCTGCTTCCTTCTTAGGGAGGACAGTCTTGCTAGGAGTTCAGGGGTGGGGGAGATTGTCATAATTAGCAACCTTGGTAGCAGTGATGTAGCCCTCTTGAACGCCATTCCTTAGCTGTAGCCTCCAAGAGATTATATTCCTTGGCTAGATGCATTTGTAAGCTGACCTCTAATCATACCAGAGGGCAGTGTGGGGATACCCTGTGTAAATGATCTATAGTGCACTAGGTATTTTCCTCCTCTTACAGAGCCCCCAGGGAGTCCTGGATCTCTAATTAAATGTGTGACCATGGTTACTGGACGCTGTTCCAGGATTATTTTATTTTATTTTTTTGATCCCATACAGTCCTTACTAAGATACAGTTCTTTTCTTTTGATATGACATACTCATTTGATGAGAAAGATAAATGGAAACATTTTAAAGAAGAAATGGTAGAGCATTCTGTAAAGCTAATTATAGGTAATAAATCTTGGTTTTGTCCAGCTTCCAGGGAGGCTTAATCTTTTTCCCCCCACCCTGCTTCCTTTCTTGGTTTGTGTTTCATAAGTGTTTAAATTAAGGTGGGTAGGGTGGAGGGTGCATCCATAAAAACCTTTGACAGATCTGAAGAAGGATGCTTATTTGCTACCTATGAAGAAGGGTGCTTATTTGCTACCTATGACAATGTGGAGAGTCAGATTTCACTCCATTGCTTCACAGTGACAGTATTAACAAAAGTCACCTCCTTTTTAAAAGTATAGCATGATGACATCAGCCATGTTTCTCTCCCAGTCACAAGGTGGGGAGGACAGTTCTCACGACAGGTAGTGGTTTTCATCTGAGGACGTGCATAGTCCTCATGGTCTTGAGGAACCTGTGCCCAAGGCAGGGGATCTGTAGTTCAGAATGTAGAGCAGAAGATTCCTCTTGAGGAATTTTCATTCCTACTTCAGAAATACCCATGGAGAGGTCTTCAGTTTGTTGTTCAATAAGAGGATGTTAGGTTTACCTTCAAGAAATTTCTTGTGATTAAAGTATACTTGAAGCAATTACTTATTCTAGAAATGCGTTTTTACCCCCCCCCCAGACATGGGGAGTGGGTCATTTCTACTCCTAATATGCCTGATTTAGACAATTTGCTTAGTTTCAAATTGAAAAATTCTCGTCACTTTCATTTCTTCTCAAGTGTCTTCAAACTAAAGATTTTCACAAAGAATCTGGTACTTAATTGAGTCTCCTTTCGGTACTGTGTTATTCCTAGGGAATCCCACTGAAAGTTAGGGTCCATGAAAAGAGGCTTCCAAATCACAACCATGAAGTCAAGATAATCCAATAGGTCAAAAGTTAATAGTTGAGTTAAATCTGTGGAGAGACTGGATTGCTAGACTTGGATGTATGTGACTACCTTAGTACTTCTTTCTATCTTAAAGGTGGAACAATTTGACTAGAGTGTTTACATACAGAAAACCTGCTGCCAACTATTTGTTGCAATCATGGTTAGACACTCTGTAATCTTTCTTCACAGCCCTATAGACTGCCTTTCACCTCAGTACCTGTTTTTCATATAACCTCCCCTCCCCAAGCCTGAGATAATTTATATACCATAAAGTTCACCATTGTAACTATTAGTAAATTTGAAAAAGTTGTGCAAACATTACCATAATCCCCAGAAAGAGTCCCTTATGCCTAGGTGTATCCAATCCCCTTCCTCACTCCATCCCTAGCAACCACTTAGCTACTTTTTGTCCTAGATTTACTTTTTCTGTGTATTTCATAAAAATGGAATCATGCCATACATGGTCTTTGTGGTTTCTTTACTTACCATTAAGTTTGATGTTGAGTTCATAACATAGCATGAATTAGTAGGTTCGTCCTTTTTATAGCTGAATGATAACTCCATTCTATGGATATACTATATTTTATCCATTTTCCACTTCATGGACATTTGGGTTACTACTTTTTGGCCATTATGAATATGCTGCTATGAACATTCATGTATACATTTTTGTATGGACATACATTTTAATTTCTGTGAGTGGAATTGGCTCATCTGTGTGTGCATTTAACTTTTCAAGAAATTGACAAACTTCTCTAAAGTGGCTGTACTACTTTTATGTAGTTAGCACAACTATAATTTATGAGGCTTGCATTTATCCACATGGTCACTTATTTAATAGACATTTGAGTGGGTATAAAGTGGTTTACGATAAAATCATGAAAAGTTAAAAACTTGCCTTTCTCTAATGATATGGAAGATAAATATTCCTGTGCTTTTTAGTCATTCCTGTATCTTTGATGAATTATCTCTTCATGTCTTGTCCCTATTTTTGAATAAATTGTTGATGGGATGGGATACAAGCCCTTTATTAGAAGGCATAATTGCTTTACTTTTTTTTTTTTTTTTTTTCATGCTCTTAGAAAACTCACTTAAGGTCAAGGAATTCTGGAGAACTAGACTGATTATCTTCCTTTTCCCTCACTTCTTTTGGTAAAATTTAACACATTATGCTTATTTCTAGCTTTTTTTCAGGTTGATTTGTTTTCTGCATTAAGCTGTGTTTTCCTCTTCCCTCCGTCCTATTTTTTGGAAGGATGGTTGGGGTGGGAGAGGTTTTGTTTGCTTTTTAGGAATTGTAAAGACTGTTCGTAATATGTATTTTATTTTGGGCTCTGAGCAAATCTGTATTCAAGTGTTAAAAAAATTTCATTAAGGCTAATCACATTTTCTGAAATCAGTAAAGCTAATCAGTAAAGTAACAGTTTAAACTGTTACTTCTTAGTCCTACTTAGGCTTCTGTGCATCTTTTTCTACACACATACCCTGTATTGAGTCACCATCGCTCTTGTTTCTTAAGGTGGTTTTTTTTTCCCGTCACTTCTGATTGTGTGGTAGAAGACATTACTATCAACATTTCCTTCATTGCTACTACTGTCTGAAATCAAAACACATGTGGTCTTGTTTATGGATGTTAACTGCTATTACAGGATAGCAGATAACTAATAAAATTTTCAAATATTATGAAAGTATAGGTTTCAGAAATTTTACACAGTTTTAATAGAAGTTTCTTCTGGTTATAGTGCCTCATTCTTAAGAGCTGTGAAGTAATTCCTTCTGGTGTAAAAAGTCTTAGGTGGTTCTCTGAGCACTTTTGAGTTTTTACCTTTGAGAGTAGCTCTTGTCCAAAGTGGATTATCCATGTACCAAAAATAGTTGATCCATACATTTGCAAATTTGCCTACTTACTAAGATAATTAGTAACTCACATCAATATTTTGAGGTCGTTTGTATA